AGGTACTACACATACAATAACCAAACTCACCAAACCAAAAGGGGTCCTATTATGCTTTTTCACTTTTTCAACTTTAGTTAGTCTGTAATGTTGCTGTTTGAGCATACAAAAGATCTGCGAAGTTACAAAGCTCAAAGTCCACTTCAAAAGGAGATATTTTATTGAACAGAAATCACTTTTCAAAAACTACAACGAACAACTCGTTTGGACTACAACGCATATTTTCCGGGATTTGTGATATCACAAATACCGACGAATGGGATGAGACCTGGTTGAGCTGCACTAGAGAAGGCAACGAGTGTTATCACTATGTCGGAGACATGCTAGCTTTCCCAAGGCAGACGAACTTAGAGTGGTTACAATCATCCAGGTTTAAATTGTGCTCAAATTGATTTGATTTTGATGCAATATTTACACTGAAGCTCGCAGGCGGCTATGGTAAGGGGCATGACATATTCCGACCAGGCGCCGAGTGGAGCCAATCACAGCACACACTGGCCCAGCTAACCAATCACAGCACATTTCATATTTCAGAAGGCGGGCCTTCATTTGACACAGGAACTATTCAAGCCGTGCGTGCCAGACTGGGGAGAGAGGTGTTGTAATAATGTAAAATATGTGAAAAATAATGTGTTTTTCGAACAACCTAATATTAGAACCTGTTCTAGTACACCCCCAAACCAAAATCAAGACTGAGCATAATAGGACCCCTTTAAATTAAACTAATCATAATTACTAGAGACTAAGCCTAGATTAGTTGAAGTCTACATGTGTTTGTTGTGTTTAGCACAGTATTTAGGTTCTCAGTGCAGGGTCCTGATGGTACGATTCCAGGGCCTAAACTCGCTCGTCTGCTGAGAAACCAGCTGTTGCGAGAGAAAACCGACTTCTTGCTCTTTAAGGTCTTAAGAGTGGACACAGTCAGTGAGTGACTTTTTTCCATTTACTTTCACTGAGAAACTGAGAACGGTAAATTATATAATAAAAAGGCTGATAATATAGTCTTTCTGATTTTACCATTGTGCTGAATATTTTAGTGTGTTTGCTGCTGTGTTCTGGACGTGGTCAGTGTGATCCCATAACAAGGAGCTGTTCCTGTGACCCTCTTTGGATGGAGAACCCCATTCGCCGCTTCCTTGATGATGGCGAGAGCAATTGTGGTCAGTGTGACATCCCAATAAGGTTTCTCATGTAAATGAGAAATTTCAATTAAGATTAAGAAGCAGGTTCAGTCATAAGGTGTGGTACATTTACTTTTGCACGTTGAAATGTCGCATTAGAAATCCACTTATTTCAGTAGGAATACACATGAACAGGAGTTTCGAGTGAGGGCATAGATTTCACATTGGGTTCAAGTTGGTCAGGCAAATTTGCCACGTTAACCAACAGAAGGCTGCTTGATTGGAAAGTGACCTCTGTGTGAGAGATGCTTCATGCAGCGCTATACTACTGACAGTGGACCTTTTTTTTGCCCACAAAATTTTGCTAACCTGACGTACCTGTATTGATGCTTTCTGTTGTGCTAAATAATCTGAGGATATTTCTAATGTTCTGTCATGAAAACATTAGAATGTTTTACAGTGATGGAAAGGCTGAGGGCTAATCTTCTGTCTCCTTTCACAGACTGGAGCGTGTTGCATGTCACAATCTCTTGTTTCGTGACAATCATTTTCCTCTTGTCCATCAGCTGGATTTGTGTCTGCTGCTGTAAAAGGTGATAAAGATTCCATTACTGCATGTAGACAGACTGCCTATTGAAATATGTGGCATGAGTTATGTTATACACACTATCATACGGGAAGTCGTGGCCTAATGGTTAGAGAGTCGGACTCATAACCGAAAGGCTGTGGGTTCGAGTCTCGTACCGGCAGGGGTTGTAGGTGGGGGGAATGAATGTACAGCGCTCTTTCCCACCTTCAATACCACGACTGAGGTGCCCTTGAGCAAGGCACCGAACCCCCAACTACTCCCCGGGCGCCGCAGCATAAATGGCTGCCCACTGCTCCGGGTGTGTGTTCACGGTTTGTGTGTGTTCACTGCTGTGTGTGTGCACTTTGGATGGGTAAATGCAGAGCACTAATTCCGAGTATGGGTCACCATACTTGGCCACATGTCACTTCACTTCATTCAAAAGTTTAGGTCAGTAAAAAAAATGTTTTTGAAAGAAATGAATACTTTTATTCAGCTAGGACAAATTAAAGTGATCAAATGTGACAGACATTTATGCTGTGCTTTTGAACTTTCTATTCATCAAATGCTGTTATTTTGAACTTGCTGTTCATCGGAGAGTCCTGAAAAATGGCTTCCACAAAAATATTAAGCAACACAACTGTTTTTAACATTGATAATAATAAATATTTTGTGACCGCCCAATCAGCATATTAGAATAATTTCTGAAATATCATGCGACACTGAGAAATTAGTAAAAATCCAGGTTTGCCGTCACAGGAAAAAAGTTACACACAAGTTACAGTTGTTTCAGTTTGTAATTTTATTTCAAAATATTACTTTTTTTTTACAGTAGTTTTTACTGTATTTTTTAATCAAATAAATGCAGAATGCATGGAAAAACTTTTTTAAAATCTTGTCAACCCAAAACTTTTGAACAGCAGTGTATTTTTCCTGTCAGTAATGCAAGTCCAGTATTAAAGGGATCGTTCACCCAAAAATGTACATTTTGTCATCATTTACTCACCCTTATGTTGTTTCAAACCTGTATGCTCCTTCTGTCAAACACAAAATAAGACTTTTAAATTTATGATTATTGAATTATTACCGGTTCTCATTCACTTTTACCATATAGAATTTTTTGTTCTATTTTGTTCTATGTACTATGGGTTCTATGTTTTTGTGTACCTGTGGTATGTGTCTATACTCATGTGTTTGTTTTGGACTGTTGTAGAGGGAGACGGACAAAAGTGAGGAAGAAAACCAAGTACACAATACTAGACAATATGGACGAGCAGGAGAGGATGGAGCTTCAACCAAAGTACAGTAAGTTTCAGACCCGATTTATTTTATGCCACAGTATTTTGGCCCATGGTGGCTTAAAGGCAGACCATTAGGTTTGTAATTGCAGTTACTGCATTCACTTTTCTGCATTTGTCATCTTTAGACATTAAACACAGGAGCACAGAGCACAACTCCAGCCTGATGATGTCAGAATCAGAGCTGGACAGTGAGCAGGACAACCTTTTCAATTACGGGAAATCTCGGAACAGAGCCAATGGAGCGGTCAGAAATGGAGACACTCTCAGCCTTTGTCCTGTGGAGGGTTGAGTCTCACATGCACACATGGACATTTCTTCATAGTGGATACTTACAATGCAAGGGTATTGTTGAATATTCCACAAATGCAGATGCAGATATAGACTGGCTGAATGAATGGGCTGCTAAACTTATCGACTACTGAATGCAGTTGGTCTTGTTATTAATATTCACCGGTTTGCTGAATGATACTGTCAATTACCAATCGCATATTCATTTTGAATATAAAAAGATCTGTGCATTCAACTCACATAATCGCAGTTGATCTCACTATGTTCTTAATAATGCTTGTATGTTCAGTGACGCAGTGCAAGCAATTGACATTGGTTATTTTGTTATTTATATGCTTCTGTGATAGAATTTGGGAAGAAGTTGCAAATAACTGATGCAGAGAAAGGCAAAATAATAATAATAAAAAAAGCAAATACCATTCTTCTTTATGCAAAACATTTTATTTGTACTGAACTTTCTGAATGTTAATGTGCCTGATTGAAATGCATTATTTTTGTTATTGTTGGTATACTGATACTGTACACTGGTCTTTGTCTTTATAGCATTCCGGTTTTACATCCTTTTAAAAATGTCTGCTTTAGCTCGAATTGCAATAGATGCCAGATGTATCAGGCATATTGTGACAAGGAGATACATTTCTCCTATTTTCTTTTGTGTTTTAATGCAGCTGGAGATGCAAAAAATTAAAGACATGTGGCCACACCTTTACAGAGGTCAGACTGTTTTATAACCAATACAAAAGTTCAGTATTTATAGTATCAGTGGCAGAAATGCAATGAAATTGAGTTCACAAACAATAGTGTGCATATTAATGAAAATAGCAAAACTAAATGAACAGCAGAAATGTCCAGATTTCAAGTTCCTTTACCAAGGCTTTCAGCTGTATATTTAGTCATTGTACTTTCATGTGCTTTTATCTGCAAAAATTTCACTCCTAAGGTAAGAAAATGAATATACTTCTAAATATATTTTCATACATATAACAGTTCACAATACAATTAGGTATATCAATAGAGAATTGATATTTTCAACAACAACAAAAAAACATTAAGCAAAGAACAGTTTTTTTTAAAAATACACTTGCAATTACAACATTTGGCCACAAAGACAAATTTGTTAACTTGCTTGATTAATCTCTATGCTTTAACACTTCAAAATAGAATTATCTATCCAGAAGCATGAGCACCTAAAAACATCCCATCACAGTCAATAGTTCATTTTTAATAGTCTCATTCATTACAAAAATAGAACCCTTAGTAAGTTAAACGGGGGTTTTTTTGTTTGGTTTTTCCCCTTTTAAAGAAAGACTGTGCTTTGATTTCTCACCGGATCCACCCCTAGGCCTATATTTGAACATACTGCACTTAATTGTAAATTGGGTTTTCTTTTTCTCTGCCTAAATGAATTTACACTGCAAAAAGTTACACAGCAAAAAAGGGAAGAAAAAAAACTTAAGTATTTTTGTCTTCTTTTCAATCTAAAACTAAATGTAGTAAGAAAAATAAAATATATTCACTGAAAAATCTCATCTTACCCAGTTACACAAAAGTAACTGTATCTTGCTTCAAGGATGTTTAGATATTTTTACATCATACAAATAAGCTCCCCCCCGCCAATCTTATTTCAGAGCAACTATGTTACATCAATCAGTTATGATGGACGGAATCACAAAAAGGACAATTTGTACCCATTTTTACAGCAAATATCTAAATTATCCTGACAGTGAAATGTCTCTGTATAGTCATTATTCAGTTACATCTGATTAAAAGAGAGAATGTATCATGTGTTTTGTGGATTAATGTTTGTATGATGGTCTTGCTTGAATAATGACATACTGCCTGCCAGTAACCATTGTCTTTAAAGGGAGAGTCCCCCCAAACACATGTACTTTATTTCTAGATACTCATCAATGCCATATTTGGATCCTTCTCTGCCCAGTCCAGACTGTTTGATTCCACCAAAAGAGGCTTCTGTGGTGGAGATCAGACCTTCGTTGACCCCAACCATGCCCACCTCCATCTGCTCAGCCACCCGCCAGATCTGACTGATGTCTCTGGAGTAAAAGTAACCTGATAAAAGAAAACAGTTTTGAATGTAATTCCGTAGAAAGAGCCAAGTGATAAAAGGTATGTAGCTGCTGTTTGCTTTACTTGACCATTCAGACACAAAAGGGTACAGTGGAGCTAAAGGAAAATATGATTTTTCTGGTCCCAAAAAAAAAAAAAAAGTATATATTCTCTGCCGACCAGAAGTTTAAAATAAATTTTATAATACATTTTTTGTTTTTTTGAAAGAAGTCTCTTATGCTTACAAAGGCTGCACTTATTTGAATAAAAATACAGTAAAAACGATAACAATGTGAAATATTAACATGCAATTAATTTGCACAGAAGGACAAACCTGCTAAACCAACAGGAGAAGCATTGGCAATGGCAAGTGCCTCCTGCTCTGTGTTGAACCTGGTGAAGAAAAAAAAAGTCAGCAGCAGACACAACCAGACATCATCAGACAAATCATTCACGCTGAAACATGTAGCCCATTGATACCCATTTACAAAAAAAGTGTTATAAAAATGAAAAATTAAATAATTACAAATCTTACATTTTTTTAATAATCAAATGAAACCTAAATATTTTTTAGAAGCAATTGAAACTAAACTTAAAATTGTTATGCTGATAATACAGTATATTATGAAATCTGTAGAGAAATATGTAATATAAAATGTGTTTTAAATTATAAAATTTGAAGTTAACATGAAGTCATGTAATACAATAAACAGTAAATACTCACTTAACAACAGGAATAAGGGGTCCAAAGGTCTCCTCTCGCATGCAGAGCATGTCAGTGTTGACACTGGACAGCAGGGTGGGCTGCATGAAGGAGCCCTCCAGTCTCTTCCCACCTCGAACTATGACTGCTCCCTGTGCCACAGCATCTACAATCTGGTTCTCCACCTGAAAGAAACAACAGCTGATCAACACCATTAAACCCATCATCTTAACCACATGATCTGTACGTGTGCTTGTTGACAGTGACATTAGTGTTTGTATCCAACAGAATCATCAGTTACTGTATTTGCTATTGGCATGAGGCACCTTCTCTGCAGCGCGGGTGTTGATGAGCGGCCCTTGTGTGGTGGTGGGCTCTGAGCCGTGGCCAACCTTCAGTTCGGCATCCATAGCCTTCGCCAGCTTCTCCATGAAAGCATCATGGATCCCACTCTGCACCAAAAAGCGGTTGGAGCACACGCAGGTCTACAGCAGAGAGACACATTACAGGTGAGACATGGAAAACAGCTGTTTACGGTTACAAAAATGTCAAGTACACCATAGTATTTACATGGTACTCAAAGGTACTTCAAAGAATGCCATGGTTCTGAAACCTTATGAGTACCTAAAGTTCACTACTTCACTCATTATTTATGAAAAACATGTACTTTTCTTCCTTTGTGCAAAGTGTCAATGTACAGGTCAAATTTCTCCCCAAAATAAACTAAAAAATAATAATAAAATATAATAAATAATAAAAATAAGCAGCAATATTTTGCATAAAATAAATTAATTTAATGGGATAGTTCATCCAAAAATGAAAATTCTGTCATTGATTACTCACCCTCATGTCGTTCCAAACCCATAAGACCTTTGTTCATCTTTGGAACAAATTAAGATATTTTTGATGAAATCCGAGAGCTTTTTGACCCTGCATAGACAGCAACGCAACTGAAAAGTTTTATGGCCCAGAAAGGTAGTAAGGACATCGACAAAATAGTCCATGTGACATCAGTGGTTCAACCGTAATGTTATGAAGCTACAAGAATACTTTTTGTGCGCAAAGAAAACAAAAATAACGACTTTGGAAACAAGGTTGTTCTACGTCAGAATGCCAGCTCCTGCATCAGCAGCATCGTCACACACATGCATCATGGTACTCTCGTGAATGGCGTTGCTGTCTATGCGGGGTCAGAAAGCTTTCGGATTTCATCAAAAATGTCATAATTTGTGTTCCAAAGATGAACGAAGGACTTACGGGTTTGGAACGACATGAAGGTGAGTAATTAATGACAGAATTTTCATTTTTTTGGTTGAACTATCCCTTTAAGAGTGAAATATACTCACCTGGCCTGAGTTCCTGAATTTGGAAGCCATCGCTCCTGCAACTGCTTTATCTACATCAGCACTATCAAATACAATAAAGGGGGCATGTCCTCCCAACTCCATAGAGACCCTTTTGACAGTTCCTGCAGCATGTCTTAGTAGTACCTGCAAAAGCATTTACTTGAGCGATTATAAAATTATGTTGAACATTAAATATTGACTGCGCAAATAAATTAGATCTTTACCTTGCCAGTGGCTGTGGAGCCAGTAAATGAGATTTTGGCCACGAGAGGGTCTGTGCAGAACAGCTCCCCAACAGCAGGGGTCTTTTCTCTTGAGCAGGGCACCACATTAAACACCCCAGGAGGAATGCCGGCCTGAACCGACAGCTAGATAGGAATACAATGCATTATGCACTCTTTCATACACATTACTGTTCAAAAGAAATGAGAATTTGGTTCTCATTATTATCAATGTTGAAAACAGTTGTGCTTTGTGGAATACAAAATAAAAAACAGCATTTGTTACAATGTAATTTACAAAGTATTTGTCACTTTAGAACAATTTAATGCATCCTTGAATAAAATAATTAATTTCTTTCAAAAAGGTTTTTCAAAAATTACAATCTTACAGACCCCAAACTAGTTCATCTATAAAGTTTGCAGACTGGTAAATGTCAAGTTAAGCAGGCTTTCATGGAAACAGACAGACCTCAGCAAGTGCCAGAGCAGAGAGAGGCGTGTCCTCAGCCGGCTTCACCACCACAGTGCAGCCCACCGCAAGCGCTGCGCCCACTTTCCTGGTGATCATGGCACTGGGGAAATTCCACTGTGAAAAGGGAAAATTTTAAATCTCAACTGGGAGCTGACAGTTTTAGTTTAGCTCATTAAACCTACAGCCTGATGGTGTTATGTTATCAGAATGAAGGAGGAAGTCTCACAGGTGTAATGATGGAAGCCACTCCCACCGGCTGCTTGAGTAACAGGATCTTGCGGTCCTTGGCTGGAGGTGCGACAATATCTCCATATACACGTCTGGCCTCTTCAGAAAACCACTCCAGAAAGGAGGCAGAATATGTAATCTCACCAACAGACTCCTTCATGGGCTTCCCCTGTACACACATTTGAGTTATAACCAATTCTAATATCGGAATCCTTGTAAATAGTATCGTTAGATGTACCCTGTATGTAATGGGTCAGAATACCTACAGACTCGGCTGTGATCAACTTGGCAAGATCTTCCTTGTGCTCATTGATCAGATTAAACCATTTCCGCAGCAAAATGCTTCTTTCCTGCAAAGAGCATGTATCAATATGTATATCAGAACTTCTGAGCATGATTAAATACTTTATGATTTAAATAAATCTTTTTTTTTTTCATTAAATTATCATTTTTATTTCATTTTATTAATATTGTGAAATATTACTACAATTTCTAATATGCCGACTTTTTTGCCCAAGAAACGTTTCTTCTTATTATTAAAGTGGTTTTTTTTTTGCTCAAGAAACATTTCTTATTATTATTATTATTATCAATGTTGAAAACAGTTGTACCACTTTTTATTTCAGTAGAATCTTTAGGATTCTTTGATGAATAGAAAGTAAAAAAAAAAAAACAGCATTTATTTAAAATAGGTTTTTTTTTTGTAACAATGTAAAAGTGTTTGTCATTTTTGATTCATTTAATGCATCCTTGTTGAATATAAGTATTAATCTGACCAAACCATTTCGGGAATTTTTTTTTTAATAAAAAGGTTCTTACCTGCAAAGAGCAAGCATCAGTATGTACATCAGAACTTCTGAACATAAATAAATACTTTATCATTTTTGTATTTGCTTATAACTGTATTTATTTCAATTAACTTCTTTTTAATACATATTTTTAATTTAATTGATTTAAATCTTAATTTTAAATGTTTATTTTTTCACATTATAATAATGAGAATTGTGAGGGAAAATTGTCATGAAAATAATCACAATTGTCACAAATTGCAAAACACAGCTCTAAGTAAATGGTCTTTTCCCCCCCAAGTACCTTTGAGTACCATGCACTGTAAATACCAAGGTATTACCATGCGATTTCATAGTAAATACGGTATTTTGTAATTATGTTTAACTTCGTGCGTTCCTGTAAAGAAGTAAGGCCTAATATTGAAGAGTTATGAATGACAGTCATGCTCATTAAAAACATTTCCCACAAATCACCTTGGCTGTCTGACTCTTCCACAGGTGAAACGCTTTGTACGCAGCATTGACAGCGTCTTGAGCTTCCTTTGTACCGCAGTCGGACACCTTCGCGATCTCTTCTCCCGTGGCTGGATCTAACACGGGGAATGTGGATGCAGCGGAGACCCAGCGCCCTTCTATGAAGGCTTCAGTCCGCAGGAGCTGCGCTGACACGTCGAGGCTGTAAGGCCGCTGCAGCATGCTGGGTAAGCCAGAGAACACCTGCCGGAGAATACACCGACCTCTTGAGAGATATAAACTGCCCATGATAAGAACTGACAGGTCTAATAGAAACCTTTATATTGGTATATGTTCGTCAGCAGGTTGAGGCGTGCAGGAGTCTAGCTCATTCCAGTCCAGAAAAGAGGGCGGTTGCTTTAAACACGTGATTTCATGCACTTTAACAATTTTATCCTTATTTACATTATACTATCGACTGTTACACATACACACACACACACACACACACACACACACACACACACACACACATATATATATATATATATATATATAAATTTGTATCTTAATTAATTTCCACGGTCACTCCAAAAATGGTAAAGAGGGATTAAAATAAGTAATGATTGTCCAGTGGATTGCGTGTTGCGAATCTCTTTGCATTTCACTCACTGCAAAACGGAAGTACAATCCGACTTCTCGAGACGGTAGTGATGGTCAAAGACTGATGGAAGCGACGTCCGATTCATGAATGAATCATTTTTGAGTCGGATCTTTTCAAACCATAAACGATTCGCTCACGAATCAGTCCGGAGTGAAACGAGAACCATGTATTACATGTCCGATTCATAATGAGCCATGAACCGAACTGTTCAAAGGAACCGATTCGCGTAAATAAATCATAATGAATCACATAAAGTTTTTTTTTTTTATCACAATAGTGGGTTGTTACAATCACCAAATGCACAACTGCGACCTCTGTGACAACTTTACATAAGCGACTGTGCAGGATACGTTTAATTATTCTAAAATCTACAAATATATTCTTAACATATTTATTTCAAGTTCTTTTACATATAATCCTATTACTTGTTTCACTTCTGTTTCAGTTTTTATAACCATTTCTTACTATGTGTAAGTTGTTGTTTTTTTAGCATGTAAGTTTGGCAGTGTTATTTTTTAGGATTACTGATAAACTACTGTCATTTGATTTGTATTATTTGTATTTGTTATTTTAATTTTAGTTAAATTATGTCTGAATTTATTATGTCTGTTTAGGTATTTTATTAAGTTTTAGTTTTATTTAATTTGAGTTATTTTAATACTTCAACAAACTAAATAATATATATATTTAAATTATAAATGTGTATGTACAGTATATATATATATATATATATGCGCATGTGTGCATGGTTGTACATACACATATATGTAGTTGTTTTTTTTGGTGTTTGGCTTAGTGTTATGTTAGAATCATTATTATACGCTTATACCTTTTGTTCTTTAATATTTTGAATTGTTTTTAGCTTTATTTTTTGTTTTTCATTTAAATGTTAAGTTTTGAAATTTTGTTGTATGCATTAGTTCTCATTCGGTGAGAAATCAAATATTTCTAACCTAGGTATGGATATTTTCTTGAGCTCTTCTTTGTTCTTGTGTTCCTTTAAACAACAACATCAACTAGCATCATCGTTCCAGATCTTGATGTACATGTTACAAGCACTCATTACATTAGTACACTAAATTGTCTCAGCAAACAAGTGAACAAATCAACAGCAACTGGTGATAAATACAAACAAATATATGCATTTATATAAAACAAACTACATAATGACATTAGAAATTGTGTGAAAAACATATATATTCATTTGAAACCTTAGAGTACAGCACTAGAAGTCCCTCGAGCGAAAAACGATGCTCCTTTATCATGGACTTTAAAATGAAATATTTTTCGTTGGTTGTAGATGGTCTCTTCTCCCTGTCGCCACCAAACCTCCATCTAAAAAGAAAAAACAGCAAAAAGTCAGCACACTTCAGAGCCATTTATTACAGTAAACAGTAAACTTTAACATGAAATTGCACCTGTCCATGTATGTCCCTGCAGTAGCCCGTTGGTAACCCCTCTACATGTAATGCCAAGTTACACTGATGAACTAGTCCCCTCCGGAGCAGGTTTGATCCCTCTTCATCATCATCTGCATCCTCCTCCTCACATCTCACCAGAATAACCACATTTCCCTGGATATCATTAAACGTTTATAGTTAATGCATCTGACATTATTTTAGGCACTGATGCAAAAAACGCTGACTCACCTGTAACTCAGAGCACACAGTGGCTTGGCAGTAGAGGGTAAAGTCTAGTATCGCTCCAACACTAACACCTAAACTCAGGAGCACACTGAGATCATCTATGAGTAACACTGGAGGACCCCATGATTCACCAGCATCACCATCTCCACTCTGACACACAGAACGTTACACAAATCTGAACAGACCTTCCAGTCCAGCACCTGGGGTCCTAGAAAAAAAAAGGAAGGCAAAATCTTATATAACACTATAGGAAGAAAGAATTGAGATCAAATGTATTTAAACTAGATTTTAATAACATACTATACATGCCTGAGATAACTCAAGGGTTGTGTCTCCTGACTGGTGTCCTCCTGTAATATAACTCCGATAGAATTCTTCAGTCCTTCAAGAAACACTAGCTGGCCCTTCTCTCTTGCCTGGGCCAGACTCACTCCCTGCCCAGAAACATTATGATCAAGACCTGTAAATGTCATCAACAACACGTCTAAACAGAGTAAGTTGATGTAACCTTACCAGCCTCTGACTGACAGCACTGTAGTGACTGAAGGACTGCACAAGACCCAGAAAACACACCTTACAGCCAGCTGGAAACATACACGTTTAAAATGAATTGAAATAAATACATTTTCCTCACTATAAACAATAGGTCACTTACCACGTAAATAGAAAGACAGATGGTGATGAATGAGAAATGATGCATCAGCTCGTCTGTCTTGACACCAGGATAAAGTCACTCTATAAGTACAGAGAACATCGGTTAGAGTCAGTGGCATTGTGTAAGTTACTTCAAGCCTGTAATGAGATGTAATTACCGATTTGAAACTGTCTGGAGTGGAATTGAGAATACTGTTCAATTCTGGAAACATGTTTGTGAGATAGAGACGAACTTGACAACAGCTGAGAAGGATATGATGGTGCTGTCTCCTCTCTACTACTCCAGATCTTCAGTATTTCTCATGCTGGCAGGAAAAACACAATTGTAAATAAAAGCAAAGCATGTACTTTTAAAGTGCATCCATTCCTGTGTGTATGTAGCGCAGTTAGCATGCTAAATTAATAGTAGCGTTGCGTAAGTATTCAAAGTATCGAAAATTAAATAAAATAATAATAACATACCTGCACCGTCTGCAATTACATAGTTTTCTTTTAAAATGTCAAATTAATATGAAGAAATATCTCACGTTTGCCTGTTACGCTAGTCAACGTGAGTACGGAAGCCGCATGAAGGCAATCTTTCCGAAAACGCGTTTTGGTCACTCGTGAGGAAATATGAATGAATTTATTATAAAAAAACAATTTTAAATCAGTGAAAGATTTTTTTCCCTTTAAAAAAACTAGTAGATATACCAAACCTTAAAAATATTTATTTTGACCAGAGATAAAAATGTAGCTGCAAGTGCACTAAAGCCCAGATAGTGTTTCATTACAAAAATATATGTGTAAAAAATATGCAAACAAGAAAACTCAGGAACAAACTTGTTCTTTGTTATGCATCATGTACTTGGGTCTACTTTTAGTTAGAACTCTAAGCATTTGCTTCCAACACACTGAAATACAAGTAATTATGCCCTTCAAACTTTACATCAAAATAAAAGTGTAAACATAACTTGCTTTAGGCCTAATTTCAACAGATTATCAATGTTTTTGCCTATAAAGCACTGTTGATGACATCCTATACAACAGAAATCCTAAATGCATAATAAGCAAGAAAAATATAAGGGAAAAACATTGTCTTAACCAAATGAATCCCCCATTATTCAATAAATAGTATAATCATGTCCTCCAAAATCATAATATTCATGGTTTTCGATAGAAGAAAACTGTAAATTTGCATATGTACTGAGCAAAAATCAGTTTTGCACAATAATGGTAATGCAAGCCCTTGAAATTCAATTCATGAAATGTTAATCATCAGCTGTGTACCTGGAAAACATGTCAAAGATAATGCAAAACAATTTTTATATGAGAAGAAAATCTATAGAACATTTGAACAAAATTGCATTCACATTTTAAAACTTGACATACAGAACGTGAGCGCAACCGATGATATAACTTCACTTAAACACTGACGGTAAAAGCTGCTAACATCTATAAAGAAAGCAGCTGAGAAAATTTACAGGGAAAGTCAAAACAGGCACATGAAATGCAAGCAAAGACATGTTGCATATTTTTTAGAGCATGAAACACTGAAATGCAAATCGTGATTTAGTGTCTTAACAGAACAAAGGAAATTATGTAAGATTAAAAAAAAAAAAAAAGTGAAACATCCAATGAAATCTGAAAGGAGTAAATTATCTTTATAAACAGCAAAAAATATTACAATACATGAGTCTGTTTACTAAGTAAATACAAAGCTACTGATTATCACACCACCCAATGCCGTCTGCATCATTAAGACATGCCTCACACTGTAGGAGCAGGTCAATGTTACACAAAGCCATAACATAAGTCATCTTATCTTGAATAATGTCTAGTATTGTTCGTTATATAAACTACTGTTAACCTTCATTCTAAATTTCTTATGTCACTATTTTAGGAATGTTCCAAGTTCAAGTTAAGCTCTACCAACTGCATTTGCACTTGACCTTCTTTTTTTTTTTAAGAAAGAAAAATCGTGGTTATAATAAAGCACAACACTGCACCAGGCAATAAGCATTCCGCTTGTAAACCTAGTAATTTTTGTACAATATTTTCATGGTTCACTGACCTTGAATATAGTTTAAAAAGGCATATTTTGCATCTCAAATCATACATTTCATACCGATTCATTAATGCAGGTCATTTTACAAAAATATCAGCTTCACCTTTATGTTTTTAAAACCTCCAGAACACTGTCCCAGTTTATTTTTTTATCAAAGTGCATTACTATAATAACCACAACTTGCATTTTTTTTAATAAAACTTAAAGAACGAGTCAAAATTGTGTGTACCCAGAACATTCAGTACACTATGGTGTGTACTAACAGTACAGTATGCATTAGAGGTGCATAACAGGGCTTGATTGAAAAGCATTATCTCTAAATCTTCTATAACTTGCACGGCTGTATGTTAAAAAGACACGTCTGGTCTTCCTATTCTGTCAATCTGAGCAACTCAGCATCGTTGTGGCCACCTAAATATAACTCATGCTACATCTTTGTAGAGGTTTGTACAGAAACTGAATGCTATGAGTAAAAAAGGATAAAAACAAAAGGTTATGATTTACAATGAATAAATACAATGTCACACTCCAGGCACACAGACTAGAGTGTATGTAATTCCTGAGTGTTTGAGTCTCTAGGTTCACTGCTACGGCGTGCCCTCTGAGGTAGCTCTAATATCTGCAGCCTCTACTAACGTTACTGTTTCTCCTGCTGTTGAGTCAAGGGGCTCCTCTTTAATAATGATGGCCCCTTCTGGCAACATGACAACTTCCTCTTCGCCAACCACCTCCTCCTCCTCCTCTTCCTCTTCCTGGAGCACCACTTCCTCTTGGGGCTCTGTGCTGGTACCATTGGTCTGCCCGTTGGCAATGGCCTCTAGTTTAAGCCTGTACTGCTCAGCTTCCTGTTCCTTTCTTAGTAACTGCTGTCTGTACTCCTGGGCTTTTCTGTTTGCTTCTTTTAGCTGCTGTTCCAGTAGTTCCCGACTGTCCTTCTCAGTGGGCTCCTATAGAAAACACTGAATAGTTAACTGTCAAATTGATTTTGCATTCCAAAGAGTAAGATTTAAATAGGAATCTCTGCTCGTCAAACCTTATGTTTGACATCTGTGTGGTTGACGGTTGATTCAAATTTCCGCTTCCGTGTTGGGACTGGTTTGGTGACCTCTGTTATGATTTCTTCTGCAATCTGACCCGCTGGCACTGCAACCACTAAATATATACAGGCATGTTACAATATAAATACTGCATCAAAGTCTGTAAACTATAAATTAGCAATCTACTCACTTTGCTGCCCCTGCATTGTGACAAAGAATTTCTGTCCCAAGTTGCCAGTCTGCAGGTTTCCCTGTTGGTCGGTTACTATGGTGATGACTCTCTGGCCATCCTCCCCTACAAGATGCTGGATGGCAGAATCTACCGAATCAGCAGTAATCACACTCTCTGCAGCTCCTGCTGGGATATAGCAGCAGTTTGTTTGCAAAGGAGAAATACACAAATATAATAACATTCTCTATGTGCATCCTATTCAAATAAAAGTTAAATAAAACTGGTCAATTAAATACTGCTGCAAAACATCAATGTCAAAATGAACATTCAACAAGCATGAAATGCAAGAAAAATTGGCTCTAGTGAGTAAATAAAATAACAGTTGGCTGGTAATTTTGTTATGAATTGAGATAAAATTGGTTTAAATTAATCAAATTTAAAGCTCAATTTAAATCAAAGTCACACAAACCTGCTAAAGAAACGTTGCAACTCATGCATTTTCTAAGTTGTACCCAAAGGAAAAATAAATCATCATAGGTATACAAAGTATGCCTAAAGTTTTTTTTTCTTTTTCAAACATGAGGCAATACATACAGTACTGTTCCAAAGTGTGAGGTTGGTTTTTAATGTTGTTGAAAGAAGTCTCTTATGTTCACCTAAGATACACCAATTTGATTAAAAAAAACAGTAAAAAAAGTATTATTGTGAAATATTATTACAATTAAAATAGCTTTTCTAGTTTTACATATTTTATAATTTTATATTTATATATTTAAATGTTAATTTATTCCGGTGATGGCAAAGCTGAATTGAAAAGTCTTTTAGTCATATGATCCTTCAGAAATTTTTCTAGTATGCTGATCTGGTGCTCAAGAAATATTTGTTTTTATCAGGGTTGAAAACAGTTGTGCTGCTTAATATTTTTATGTGACAGGTGATCATTTGTAAGGATTCTTTTATTTAAAAAAATGTAGTGTATGTGGGAAAATTCCTTACATTAAGCCAACAAACTGAATATACTAGGGGGAAAAAATACGATTCATAAGGAGAGAACAGGTTGGCATAGTCATTGTCATAGGGACACATTTTTTTTTTAATAAAAATTATGAAAAACACAATTTCAATAATTTTGTCATTCACCCACTATGGACAAGCATGGAATCAAAATGTAACGAAACTCATACCTGTGTTAGCCTTAGCATTACTGAGAACAATATCAGAGAGATTGACGACTCCAGAGGAGGAGATGATGAACTGAGGGCTGGCTGTGGCGGGTGATGTGCTGCTTAGGATAGTCCTCTCTGGATTCATGTTCACTTGGTTCTGCATTCCCTCCTAGAATAAAAAACAAACCATCAAGTTGTAAGACTGCAGCCTGATTTTGCCTATCAACTTTAAATACACAACAGCTGGTGCATTTTACATTGTGCTTTGATATTTGATGATCAACACATCATTACAAATGCAGTCTCGTTTGTACCTGTAACAACAGCATCAGCTCAGTGTTTCCTCGGTCCACCGCAATGTTAAAAGGCGTCTTGTCAAACTTGCTGAGGGCATGAGTATCAGCTCCATATTTGATCAACAGTTCCACGACTCCTCTGTGCCCATGTTCTGTAGCCCAGTGCAGGGCGGTCATTTTCAGCATGTCTTTGGCATTGATGTCTGCTCCACTCTGTCCCACATATAACAGATATAATAACTCAACAAAAAGTCAGAATGACTAAATATAAAAAAAATCCAATACTATTCTGCATTCATCTGTTCTTACCTTGACCAATAGCTCAACGATGCTTGAGTGGCCCTCTGTAGCAGCCATGTGGAGGGGGGTCCGATCGACTTTAGTGCGGGCATCTCTACTCACGCCGGCACGGAGAAGCACCTCAGCAGTGGAGTAGTGCCCGTATTGCGCTGCTAAATGAAGCGGCGAGGTTCCCAGCTAAAACATATTACCATATTCATGTTATATTAAAATTCTGATTATAAATTGCAGACAATAAGCAACGAACAGCAAATATGACTCACCCAGTCTGTAGTAAAAGGAGCTCCATTGGCCATAAGTGACCTCACTTCATCATCCTGTCCTTTGCGTGCTGCCTCCAACAAACGCTTACCCAAATCCACAAGCGACATCTAATCATGCAAATAAGGTTTGAAGCATCAGAATATAGTGAATATTGATGCTGAAATTTCTTGACAGCCACCTGTTTACATTCATGGGGTGTTTAATAACCAGGTGCAGTGTTTCAAAGAAAATGCCCAAAAGATGTAAAGCAGGAAATGGTTTCCATATATACACTGTATGCTGAATGACACTGTGGTTATATTAGTCATAAGACTGTATTCCACAAGGATCGAGTGTTTTTAAGTGCCAGGAAGCGGATGTGTACATTAATGTTAGACAGAATTCATTATCAGTGACAGGACAGGAAATAGTCATCATTTTATAGTAAGGCAAGTTCCGGGGGGAAGGTTTCATGCTTTTGTTGACAAAATTACTGGACGGACATTTTCATCATTTTTAGTCACGCACAGTCAGGTTTAATGTCAATTATGCAGTGTTATTATTTAAATAAGTTTCATTTCTATATCATAACAATTAGCTAATATCGTTACCTTAGTTATCTTTAACGAGATTTTCGTAATATATATATATACAGTAAACATATATTATTTTTATGAGCACGCTAATAATCTGGCATTAAGAACATGACTAAATTTATCATCTACAAGTTGTGTTTAAGTTTCGCTTAAGTTTTTAAGTTAGATAATAACGTTTCATATTGTGATGTGATTGTCTACAGTTACTATATAGCCAATACCATATAAAATATGTCATTAAAATCTCTTTTAATGACAGTTAATCAAACTCCTGCAGTCAGGTGCTAGTAAACAGAATAAAGCAAAACTTCTGCTGCTCACCTCGCCACAAATGTTTCCCGGAGACTTTGAATGTATTATAACGCGTTAGATACGGTGAAGACCAGACGTATGCTTCGGTTATTTATAGCGATTTAGTGTTCTATCATACTTTTCGATACTTTTTGAAAACAAAAATATTATAGATGGGTTATTTGTTGTCAAAGATGGCGCACGAACGGTACCGGAAGTACAAATATTTGAGTGATTCTTCTTTGGTAGTGTTTAAAAGTTGAGGTGTTTGTAGCGCCCCCTGCTGCATAACCAGTACACGACGAGATACACCAGAAGAGAAATAGAAAGAGAGCTTACTCATTCTTTGCTTTTGAAAATGAAGAGATTTAAGCAAATACATTTCCTCCAACTTATTTTACAATTTAAATCTCTCTCTTCACGATAGGATTGCTGAGATTGCAAAAAAAAAAAAAATGTTCGAGATTAAAATCCGTCATGTGCAATTTTGCATTCGATTGTGATAATGCATTGTGCCACTTTAGAGAAATAGTTATTATTATTTTGCAATTGTAATATTTATATTCCTGGAAAAATAGCTTAAATATATATTTCTAATGAATTTAACATTTTGCGTTAAAATAGATTCTATGCTGTTGTGTTTTCATCAGTAAATGCAATATAATATCTAATAATAATAATAATAATAATAATTTCCAAAATGTGACACACTGCATTATGTTTGATACACAATTTACTGCGAAAGTACACACTGATTTGCTTTTAAATCTTGACCGCTGGAAACCTTTGGAGAGATTTATATGGCGTAAAATAAAAAGTTGGAGACAATTTATTTGCATAAACCTCTCAATTTTCATCAACAAATCTATAACCTGAAAGAATGCATACAACCAAATTTAGACTTCAGTGTTAAACTGGAAGGTATAAATATAAAAGAACAAAAATGTAATAATAATTATCTTAGAACGATTTGCCAAATTTCCGGTGTTCCTTTAGCCATTGGTTTTTGGAGATCACAATTTCAAGCTGTCAACTGGAAAGAAACCTTTAAGATCTCCAGACGTTTTTGTATCACAAATAAAATGAGAGAAGTATCATACAAGATCGTTCATCATATTTATCCTATAAAACAGGTAATTGCAAAGTTTTGTAACGACATTGACTTGAAGTGTGTTTTCTGTAAAGAGGAAAATGAGAGTATTGTTCATTTATTTTATGATTGTATTTATACAAAATTATTTTGGTGTGATTTATTTATTTTTTTGTTAAACAAAGTATTAATATTGAATTGCAACTCAAAGAAAAGGATGTTTTATTTTTTTATGAGTATATGTTGACTTCAAGATTTGGTATATTGTGAATGTACTCATTATATATGGAAAATTCTTTATTCACAAATGTAAATGGGCGGTGAAAAAACCTAATTTGACTCATTTCAGAATAGAAATAGGTCACTACTTGTATACGTTAAAAGAAACAAGAAATAACAAAGCAAAAAAAAAACCTGGAAATTACTTTAAAGCCTTAAATCTATTCTTTGAATAATTTGTACTTGTTTACAGACGTGAGTTTTTTTTAATTGCTTTTCTTATTTTGTTTTTATTTATTTATTTTAAGTATTTGTTTTCATTCAGTTTAAATGTTATTGCCCTTCTATGTTCTTTGTTCTAAAAATTGCAATAAAAAAAAAAGTAAGAGTGCATACGCCATTCATCCAATATTATCCGTAGCCCGTTGGTGGCGCTGATGGTCTCTGGTTTGAACTGTTTTCTCATTAATGGGGAAACTTCAACCACACCTCAGTGATCTAAACAGAGTCATTTCCACCAACAGCTCTCCCGCACAAGAGTTGCTTCACTCCAGCCGCTCACTGGGGCTCTCGTTTGCCTCTAAGGTAACTTTTTTCTTTCTATTTTAATTTATGCTAGAAAATAAAATAACTTTCCAAGTCTCGAGTGGACTTTATCAATTCATTTGAGGCTCTAACATGGCCCGGGATCGATCGAGCCGGTTGTTGTGCCAAACTTTCAGTTATAGTTGAGTCTGAATAGGAACAGCGCCTGTGTGCTTGAGTAATAAAGACGAGAAAGATAAGCGATGGACGCTGATAGTCTACTTAACTTCAGTCGGATGACTCTCTGACAACTTAATCATCGCGCTGCTGCGAGTTAAAACTAGTCGAGGAGAGGGGGAAAAAATCATTTTTAAACTTTTACACACTGTTGTATTGTTTTCCTTAACTTCCTCTGGGCTGTGCTTGCGACTGAGTGGTTTGTTTCACCGTGTTTACTCGTTTACTGAATTGTTTATTTCAGGTGTGGTTTAGTAGCTGTCAGTTTAACGCGTTTGTTACACTGATTTTCCGTGTATTTCACTTAGTTGTATCGGTTTAGCACTATGAAGTGTACTCGGTGTCCAAGAAAGTGCTGTGAACTAGTTAAACTAGTGAACTGCTTTCCTAGACAGCATAAAGAGCCATGTGATTAATGTCTAGTCAGAGAGTTCAGCTCAGTTTAAGATTAGTTGCAAAGATTAGTTTGTGTAATTAGTTTATTTATTTAAAAAAAACTCCCATGGTACTACTTTTTTACAATATACTATCATAATACCATATGCTATTCTTTGAAATGAATTGGGGTGTCATGTTAATATCAACATGGATATTTTAATCATTCAGCACAATTGTATATATCAATATGGTATTACAATATGATAAGGTAAAATCATACCTTCATATAATATCATATCATATCACTGCATGATGGTACTGCTATAGGGCTTTTTCTTTTCTTTTGTTTTTTTTAAGGTGACATATCATGAAAATCTGGCTTTTCCAGGTTTTAAGTGCTATAATCAGGTCCCCAGTGCATCTACCAACTAAGGAAAGGTGAAAAAGATTAACCCAGTAACTTTGTTTTGGTAAGCCTTTTTCTGCAAGCGTCTGAGAAAACGAGCGCATCTGATTTCGCTCCCTTGGTGACGTGGCAAAGGGATCTCATTATAATATTGCCGCCCCTTGATCTGTAAATTTCCACCCATGGCGCTGTCATTTTGATTTCGCAAGCGACAACGGTGTACCAGCTCTAATGCCATGGCGAAAGTTTGAGCAAAACATGCTAACTGTTCTGTCTTTGGCTGCACAGACGAGCACAGAACACTATTTAGAGTCCCAGCCTCAGAGGAGACAAGAGAGCAGTGGATTTATTGATTTATTTACTGTATATTGCTGCTGCCACACAGATTTCCCAGCTGTTAACCTTCATAGACAGACATAACCGACTGTTTTTGTAACTCGTGTGAGTTTTTAACGTAAACTTGTGTGTGAATGAGAACTTAGATTAGTACTCACATGCTGTGACAGCCGCTTTCTGTCCGTGTGCTTCGGATGTGTGCACTCAGAAAACCTTATATCAGAAGTTTAAAATGCATATGTTTTAAAACGCATGATTTCAGCGCGAGAAACATGATCATCAGAAGAACCAAAACGGATGTTTTTAGCAGGTACGAGCTGTAAAGGCACAGCTCTGTTCTGGAAAAGGTGGTGGGAAGCAGCAGCTCATTTGCATTTAAAGAGACAGACCCGAAAAACAGCGTGTTTCTGCTTCCACTCAAAATAGGCATTTTCAAAATGATATAATAAATGATCTGTGGAGTATTTTGAGCTGAAACTTCACAGACACATTCTGGGGACACCAGAGACTTGTATTACATATTGTAAAAAGGGGCATTATATGTCTCCTTTAAGTTAATTGTTGTACTAAATACTGTGGTAAATTAATATGGTTATTGTTCAGTTCCATATTACCCAGATAGCACAGGTACAACTGCAAGATGTCTGTTAAAGATTGCTTCATCTGGAAAGCATCTGTGTACAAACATCTGATAGATGTCTTTAAGATACTTTTACATACATTCTCTTCAAGACATTCTCTAAACGTCTATTTGACATCTGATAGGAAACATCCTATAGACGTATTGCAGATGAGCAAGCACTCTAAAAAAATACGTTTTGCAGATGTAAATGAAGACGTCAAATAGATGTCTCCGTGATGTACGTGTGCTATGAGGGTATATATCACAGTGCCAAAGAAAGAAATTACAAGATTACAAAATGGTAGTCTGTTTCTTTAATTTAAGTTTAGATATGCGTCATTCATAATCGGTTTAATTTACTGTTTTGTATGTAGTATGTTAAATGTATGATATATGGTGTGCTTGTGTGAAGGATTCAGGGCTGCTTCACTGAAATTCATCTTTTTTTTCTTTCTTTCATTAAACAGACTCATCTGTAACAGCTCTGCCTCATATAAACCCCATAGTCCTACAGAATCAACTGGAAATTAGGGCCCCAGAATAACTGAGGGAATAAGGGGTCTTGTATATGTACTTAAAGCAAAGACATCAACAAGGATTCTGTCAGTGATCAGGACAGAGCTTCTTGGACGAGCCACGGCTAATATCGCTGGGTGTTGAGGATTAGATTCTCTCTCTATCTTGTCTCTAAACGGCCTGCAGGGTGGCGAGAGAGAGGGGGGAACCCAACCGGTGCTTGCCGGAGATGAGTGCGTTCTGGCATAAGATCGGCTGCTGCGTGGTAGCCAAACCTCCTCCGGTAAGTGTCTCATTTAGAGATTTATCATAAAGAGATTTATAGTTTTATTTCCCAGGCTTCCACCATAAGCCATTTTAATACAATAAAGCCTAGTTTTCAAGAATCTACATGAATCACAGGTACTGTGATGTCAGGCTCCTTTTGAGAACAACATCTGGACTAATTTTGTCAATTAGGCATTCCCTGTGGCTCATGCGAGTTTTGTGTTCGCTAATCACGCGAAGAATGACTCACGCTGGTCTAGGGCAGAAAAGAAACCTTTCAGCTGATGTGAATGTGACCCAGATAGTCTTGGGAGTTTGTCAGAAGTGTAAATGTGTTTTTGAGAGTGAAGCCAGACGTGAAACACAGATGGACATAGAATTCTCTTTCATTGAACGGGTGAACATGTAGAGGTATGGATCCAAACCACTTTGCATGTGAGGAAGTCTGATAAATGTGCCGTCACATGCGTATTTGACTTTTATCAAGAATATACACCACAGTTCAAAAGCTCAAGGGCAGTAAGATAAAAAAAAAAATGGTACTTTTATTTGGCAAGTATGCATTAAATTGATCAGACAATATGGACATTTGTAATATTGCAAAACATTTCTATTTCAACTAAATGCTGTTCTTTCAACTTTCTTTTCGTTAAAAAATCCAGAAAAAATGGTTTCCACACAAATTAAGCAGCACAACTGTTTCCAACTGTTATTAATAATAAAAAATGTTTCTTGAGCATAAAATCAGCGTTTTAAATTGATTTCTGAAGGATCATGTGACACTGAAGACTGGAGTAATGGTTTTTGAAAATTCAGCTTCACCATCAAAGAAATAAATTTAAAATATATTCAAATGCAAAACAGTTGTTTCAAATTGTAATACAATTTCACAATATTCCTTTTCTTTTACTGTGTTTTTGTTTAAATAATTGCAGCCTTGGTGAGCATAAGAGACTTATTTAGAAAATTGTAAAAAATTTACCGACCCCAGACTTTTGAACAGTGGTGTATCATGTGCTATTCTTTTCTTTTTTTTATGTTCTCCCATAAATGAAAGTTTTGTCATCATTTACTCCCAATCATGTTGTTCCAAACCTGTATGACTGACTTTAAGTGGAACACAATAGAAGTTTAACATGTTGACTCTTCAGCTTCATACTATGAAAATACAGTGACCACCACCATCTGTCAAAAAACATTTTAAAAGTACTGCATATGACTCGCATACCATATATTCCTATACTGTATTACACATACTAGTCTTCTAAAGCCATATGATTGTTTGATATAGGTTGCTTGCTATTCTCTATTGCTATTTTTAGCTCTTAAATCTCATTCATGGTTGTACTTATTCAAAGTGGCACCACAAAATGCGTTGTACCAGCTTTAACCTCAAAAGTTGCTTAATCATGATGTGGCAAGTTTTAAAAGCAGTTTTATGTGATTAATGACTTAAATACCAGTCTGTTCCTCACACAAATCAATTGTATGGCTTTAAAAGACTTATTAAGAATATTGAGCATGAGTCATATGGATCTCTTTATGGTGCTTTTATGGCAGTTTCATTTCAGACATTCTGCTAAACATCTCCTTTTGTATTGCATGAGCAAAAGAAAGTCAGAGTTTGGAAAAAAAGACTAAATGATAGCAAACATGTATTTTGGGATGGACTATCCCTTTAATATTCCTGTAAGTAAAAGAATCTTGTTTATTTTTCTAGAACAGTTTTGCATATTTGACAGATTACTTGGCTTAATTCAGTCTTTGTTAGTTGGTTTGTTTCTATCTGGATTGGGGTTCTGAGGCAATGACGAGTGACCCAGGTTTACCATGGTCTCCTGTAACAATGACAGGGGGTTCTGAAGGGAAGCTGGCTCCTCCGAGCTGGGAGTGCTCATTCTTTTCTCCCTCCTTCCTCTTATTATTTTTAGGTTCTTGTTTGTTCTGTTGTTGGGTGGGGGGTTAGGTTAGACAGCAGTGGGCATCTGTAACGGACCAATGCTACTTCCCAGTGCAAGAGCAATTTTCTTAGACTGATTTAGATAAAATGATTACATTTAAAGTGTATCCTTGCGTCAGAGAAGGTGATAAGGACTAAAGCATGTGCCAAGGGTTTGCTGTGATATGGGCCATTGACTATATAAAGATTATGAAAGTAAACACCTTTCAAGGATGTCTGGAGTTACGTAAGAGATGTTGCATTTAAAAGGCTAGAATTATCTTTCTTTCTTTATCTTTTTTTCTTTCTTTCTTTCTTTCTTTCTTTTTCTTTCTAATATATAATATTCTTTAATGAATAATTAACAGCAATACAATATTCATAAGTCTAATGAACACAGAGGTGAAAGTTTGAATAATAGGTATGTAATTTAACAACAAAAATAAATAATAGAAACAATAAGAAGAACAATGATTTTGTTATTCAATAATTTATTATTATTATTTAGTTGTTGTTGTTGTTGTTATTATTATTTATTATACAGAAACTAAAAATACTTCTAGCATCAAATAGTACCTCAAAGTGCTCATTAAATTTATCGTATTGACTACGATCATATTGATTATTTTAAATAGAAAAATTATTACCACTATTTAGAAATAAATATTGATATAATAATAATAATAATAATGTGTAAAAAAAGCATTATTATTATAATTATTTTTAACATCGTACAGAATAAAAATATATATTTATTAGCCCCGTTTTATTCCAAATCGTATCTCAGTGTTCATTAGATTTGTCGTATGGATGATCATTTACTTGGAATATTTAGAAAGAAAAAAACGAGGTATATAATAGATTAAAAAAGCTTTTTTTTTTCTTCATCATGCATAATCTAAAAATAAATAGTTATAGCCCCATTTTATTCAAAATTGTACCTTAAAGTGTTCATTAGATGTCATATTGATGAATATTTAATTAAAAAGCTTATTGCTATTATTTAGAAAGAAATAACAATCCATGTGATAAGAATATTGACATTAAAAAGTATTATAATTATTATTATGCAAATGTATAAATATGTAATGAATAGTGAGACTCACTTCTGCGAGTTAGGATGGTTCATACAAATTGTAATTGATACCAGAGTTCTCATGCACTGGTTCGGTTTGCATATCCACCTTTACACCAACCAAATGATCTGAACACTGACAGCGAACAAACTCTAGTCTGGTCTGTTTCAAAAACTATAGTGTGAGATTTCAGATAAGTCTAGAAGATGTATTTTATGATTGACAATATAAATCCAGTGCTGTATGTTCTGTAAAATGCACTTTGTTCACTCTGGACGGATAAGTAATGGCATGTATGCCAACACCCCTACTATGGCACATGATCTCATCAAATAATTATTCTGGTTGTTGATCCAAGGTTTTTTTTTTAGATTTACTTATATATATATACTTTAGATTTACAGACTAACTCTACCGCATAGTTATGGGAAACACAGAAAAGAAACTGTAAACTGTAGAACAGTTGGGGATTTTTAGGAACTCAATGAATCCTGCTCATCTTCAGGATGTATCCAGGAATAGATTCCATAGGGAAACATTAGTGTGATATCACCCAGACTCTGGTGTGTTCTTTGTATGGTCACATGACACAGGCTTAGTTGAGCTTGTATTTTCAACACTTTGGGTTTACGTCATGCTGTTTCACCAATTTGCCGATCAAGTGCTTTGTATCTTTATGCTGGACCTTTGTTAATTTAAGCATCTATGTTCACAGAAGAAGAAACGGAGGAGAATTGACCGTAGCATGATTGGAGAGCCCACAAACTTCATTCATCTGACACACATAGGCTCTGGTGAAATGGCAGATGGCATGCAGCCGGTAAGACATGTTTTATTCTGTTGGTACAGTGAGACTCCCATTTTAACGTTATGGCATGGCTATAATTAATTTACAGTGACAGAATGAATGCTTCTACATGGATTCTTTACTGAAATACTGGCTCATACCAGATTGTCGCAGGCAACACATTAAAATCCAAAGAGTGTTGCTGGGATCTTTGTAATCAAAATCCCTGTTGGTGGGTTTTTTTTTTTGGCCCTCTTTCGTTTTTGCCCTCAAATATGAATGTCATGTTTTAATGCTTGACGTGGATGTTGGAGGTTCCCTGATAAATTGGTTAGCCTATGCTGCCAAGTTTTTCAGTTTGTCTTTAGAATAATAAATAATTCAAATAACACAATAATAATGACAATTGGTAGTAGCAGTAATATATATTTTTATGTAAGGACATCATAGATGTCAAGAATTCTAATGAACTTGGGAGTAGTAATATTTATTTATATTGGTAAATATACCAATTACCATTATTATAATTACTATTTTTATGTAAAGACATAAATATCAAGACTATAAATTTAATGAGCTATGCAATACAATATCAATGTTTTTTGTTTGTAAAAAAAAGTAACAAATATTTTAATTTTATAATAATACTGCTGCTACTAAGAATAAAATGTATTATGATTATATAAAGGCATCATAAAGGTCAAGACTTCTAATTAGCTTGGGAGTAATAATATTTATCATTTTATTTTAATTAGTAAAAATATACCAAAAATATTATCATCATTACTGTTATGTAAAGAGTAAAACTATACATTTAATGAGCTAGAGAGCAATACAATTTCAATGTTTTTTTTTGTTTTTTTTGTAAAACAATACATATTTTAATTTTATAATACTGCTACTTATAATAATTATGATTATGTAAAGGCATCTTAAAGGTCAAGAATAAATCTAATGAGATAGGGAGCGATAATATATATATATTTTCTTGTAAATATAATTTATATAT